TGTATATGTAGGGACACGGGGACAAGATATTTACATTAGACTAAATTAAATTCTTGACTAAATTAAACATATTATTAATTTATTATATTGGACCATATTGCATAACATATATGAGTCACAACCCTTAACTTAATTAATATAGCAACTATTATTGAATTAATAGATTGTTACATATACCGGCAGTGGATATCCGCCATGTTTGCACGCAACAAGCTAGTTTCGAAGTGGTTATATTAATGCATATATGGGTTTAAAGAAGTCGTTTCTCTGCCGCCGCGTCGATCCATTAGAGTAAAAATTAAAATGAAATACTTTTTTATGAATTTATAAAAAATATTACATATATCGCATGATACAGTCTTATACAAAACTTATTTTGCATGTAATATTGGCAATAGCTTCTTAAAAAAAGTTTTTCTTGCTAAATTCATATATTATATATAAAAATTAGTGGGTAAATATATGATGTACTAGTAATTGATCTAGTAAATCTAACGATTATAAAATAGTTTTTCTTGCCAAATCCATATATGTAGTAGTAGTCTCTTTCTTTCTCTTTCTATACGTATCAATGACCTTCCAAACCATGATTTTTGTAGTAGAGGTTTTGAGTTCATTAGATGAGTACCAAATACGTAACATTGTACCCCTACAGCTTAAAATAAAATTTAGTATGTGCTCATCATAGCTTATGAAATAAAAATGTTAGTTTCATATATTATACTTTTTTAGGGTTAAGAAGGGCGGACAAACCCGGTGACTAAAACTAGCACCATTCAGTAATAACACGCAATTTGGAGATCCCAACTGTATCATTCATTAAAGCTTCAATAACATATATTATTATTGTATATTAATATAACATGAATATAGTTTTTCTTACAATAATGAATGCTTCGTCAGACATCACAATATATGTAGGGTAAAATGCAAGGCTTGCATTGGCAAATCAATTTCTACCAATGAAATGAACTGCGTAGATACGTGGTCAATCAAGCCATCATAGTTGTCACACTTGTGGCCTCAAGTTTAATTTTGTTATAATAATAATTCGATTGCCATCATACATTAATAATAATACTATATATTGTACACATATTAACTATAGGTTAGATATTTTTGATTAATTAAATTAAATTGCTGACTAGGTTGCAAAGTGGGATCCAAATTGACGTGGATCACGAATTGATCGAGAGTAAATGTCGGGTTCTCCTCATGCCGTTAAATGTGCAATAAAAAAAAGGAATAAGGTTCAAATTGGCCACTGAACGTAACTTGAAAATGCAATTAGGCCATTGAACGAACAAAAAGTGCAATTAGGTCACTGAACACTCTAAAAACATGCAATTAGGCCACTGAACTCTCCAAACGTATGCAATTTCACCGGATAGCAGGTTACCATCAATTTTAGCAAGTTACCTGCTTACGTGGCAGCTGAGTTGGCATTTTTAATAATTTTTAATAATAAATTTTATAAAAAAATTGAAAAAAAATTAAATAAAAAATAAAATAAAGTCATAAATTTTTTTAAATAAAAATTTATTATTAAAATTTATTAAAAATGATTTAAAATTTATTAAAAATGCCAACTCAGCTGCCACGTAAGCAGATAACCTGCTAAAATTGAGGGTAACCTGCTATCAGGTGAAATTACACATTTTTGGAGTGTTCAATGGCCTAATTGCACTTTTTTTTCGTTCAGTGGCCTAATTGCATTTTCAGGTTACGTTCAGTGGCCAATTTGAACCTTATTCCTAAAAAAAAAAAGAAGAAGATAAGGTGCTTGGTAAATAATTGTATATTGATTGAGTTAGTGAGTTTTTTTTTTTTTTTTTTTTTTTTTGAGCTAGTGAGTTTGATTAGTTGATAGTCGAAAAATATTTGTTAATTAGTGTTAACTTATAGTTAATTACGTGCAAAATGACTTTCTCAAAAAGTTGATTGGAAAAAAACTGTTTTGAGCAGTTTTTTGAATTTTTGCGTATTGGAACAATAAGTTGTTCAAAAATTTAATTAATCAAACACTTCGTACTCATACGGAATGTTTAACCAAATTAAACAGCTAATAGTAATTAAACAAGTCAAAATTGACAAATATGCTAACTATGTTACCAAATAGGCCCATAATAATTTAAATGAAGAGAAGCTCTAGAGATTTGGGTTCTTTTTAGTTGCTATTGTTGTTTGTTTAAGCTTATTTTTTGGAGCCACTATATCATGTGTTCTTCTATTTGTCACTGCATTAACTTATTTTCTCAACTAATTTGCATGCGTTGTATTAAGTTTTCCATTATTATTTGTATTCTATATATACTTGTAAAACCCTAGTAACCGCTCTATAGCCTAAATGTTGAATTCTAGAGAAGGAGGTAAATCAATGCTTGAATATTAGTGCTCATTCCATTAAGAAAATAGGGAACTTGTCTATTTATAGAGGTATGATGAATTATTTTAAATTTTTTTAAAATATAACGATAGAAGTATAGAAGATCTCTATAACTGAAGTAATTGAATCCAAATTTATTTTGACTTCAAGTTATTGTATTCTATAACAAAAATAAAAATATAATAAAACAATTTTGTCCAAACATAATACATAAAAGTTTAACAAAGAAAAAAAATACAATTCAAAATTTAATTTTAAAATAACATTTTTGTGCATATTTAAATACAAAATTATTCACTAAAATTTCAATATCAATTCATTTTAAAATTTTATTTTTCAGTTACAATTATGATCAATATATTCATTCTAAATACATAATTATCAATTATATAAAAATAATGACTTTATATATACAATTAAACAAAAAAAAAAAAAAAAAAAAACAATGAGCCCCCAAAAATTAGGGGCCCTGTGCTTTTCGCCCTGACCGCGGCCAGGGCCAGCTCTAAGCATTAGTTATTGCGTAGACCGTGGTCTACACAATTATTTGCCGGCCCTAAGTACCTATGATAATGCATGCCAAATTCACACCTCTTTATTTTTATTCTTGGTAAAATTTGAATACTACACTATACAATTGTTAATAAAGCAAATTTTATAAACTTTACTTTAAATTAATTAACCATTTGAATTGTATTTCTACACCTCTAAATACAATTTTTAGTAATAAAAAGGGCACCGGCGGCGGAGGGAATGTGAGGGGTTGGTGGTGGTGAAGATTGAAGAAGCAAATTAAAGGGGCTAGTGGATGGGGTGCCAAGAGAAGAGAGGACGGTGCGTGGGGTCCACTTGTTTGATTCTTCTCCCAATTGTTGTTTGATTCATTCGTACTGTCGTAGGATTCATGTTCCAAATGATGATATCATCAATTATTTTTAAATTATATAATGGTCATTATTACTATGATGATGTTTTCGTGTGGAACCCATCCCATTTGCCGTAACACAATTCTCTGCTTACATTTTAACCTACTCAATCTTGTGGGATTACATTAATCATCAACTAAAATCACTCGTTAATGCTTTTACCTTATTATTTCCCACAAAAAAAAAAAAAAAAAAAAAAAGTCTCTTGCCCCACGAATTCTCACATCCAATTTGAATTATTACCATATGAGGTCCTTCGTGTATAATAATTTTGTCGCGTTTAGTCCTAAAATTTCAAATTAGTCATTTGTAATCCTTCAACTTTCAAATTTAACCATCCGTGATTTAAGTTTACCACCCATGGTCCTTCAACTATTAAATTTTAACCAACCATGATCCTTTCAAGAGGACTACGACTGGTTAAATTTCAAAACTTGAAAGACCATGAGTGGTTAACTTGGACCACGAATAATTAAATTTGAAAGTCGAAGGACTAGAAATGGTCAATTTGAAAGTTTAGGACTAAACATTACAAAATCACTACACTCGGAGGACTTCAGATAGTATTAACTCTTCCAATTTCTTTTACCATCCAATGTTTTTGACAAGGGAAAATGGCACTTTTTCCCCCTGTATTATATACTTATAGCACTTTTTCCCCCTATATTATTTAAGTGGCAATTTTCCCCCCTGATATATTAAATGGACATATTTACCCTTAAAATAAATATTTCCTTTATTTTACTTCTCCAACAAATTATAACCACAATTTGAAAAAATAAAATACATTAATTGTTGAATTTAGAATACTTTAAAAATAAAAAAATAAAATTTTAAAATAATGTTTGAACCAACAGTTCAAATTGGATCCGAAATTGTGAAACAACGATTCAAAATAAAAACCAAATCGCGATTATATATACTTATATGTGAGAGTCAATATAAATGCGAAAAAAACATACACTATTTGCAAATATTATAATTCTAATTTTAAGCTATTGCTAGTAGTTGTTCCGATTTGAACCTCTGGTTCACGGTTCAGAATCTATTTTTTTCCACTTCACAATTTTAATAAACGGAAACCCAAATATTGGGTTATGTTATGAATCATAACCGATTTTTTTTTTATTTGATTGCTATAGTGTTCGGTTCAGTTCGAACCGAACCGTGGCCATCCCTACGTATAAACAATAATTTGTTGAACAAGAGAAATAAATAAAATATGTATTTTAAGGGTAAAAATGTCTATTTAATATTATCAGGGGGAAAAACCGCCACTTTTATAATAATTGAGGGGGCAAATGTGGATGCATGAATAACTCAGGGGGAAAAAGTGCTATAAGCATATAACATAGGGGGAAAAAGTGCCATTTTCCCTTTTGACAATGAATAGTAATTAAGGTGAAAAACACAAAGGCCATGTTTGGTAAAATAGTTAGTTTATAGATTAATTTACCTATAAAATCAAATCCAGTTAGTAAAGCAATAAAAGTAAACAAATTAAATATAAAATCTGATCACATGATTCTACAGTTTAATTTACCTACTGAACATTATTGAGTCTGCAATTATTATACTATCTTTTAGTGAATGAATAGAACTGTACGGGTGAATAAACACAGTTTATATTTCGCGGTGCGCGTTCTTCGGCCGTGATTATCTTATCTATATATAGGGGAGTGGTGTTCAAGTAGTTTTAATCACCTTCTTCGTCTTAATAACTTTTAAAGATCAATTTTTTATCTTCTGGGTCCTTGACTCCTGTGCGTATTCTTCAACTATCATCTCTTTCTCTCTCTCTCTCTCTCTGCTGTGAATCAGGCGATTGTGTAGTCTGTTTCAGGTATGATTTCTTCTATAGAATTGGTTATCAGTCGTGGGTTGAATGGATTGAGTGAATTCTGGGGTTGGGTGTTTCTGATTTCTGTGTTGGAATCTTATTGGAAAATTTGACAGTAATTGCTTGTTTTAAGATTGGATAGGCAGAATTTGAATGGATGGTGTTTGTTTAAAGTTCTGTTCTTCCAGTTTATTTGCAGCAGTTAAGGCTTTAGATCATGTTTTCAACTGAAAAAACATAACTGAATTAGGTACATGGGACTAGTTGAAGCCACTGAATTTGTAATGTTTTGTACTGATCAGAAAGTTTAAGAGCTGATTTGTTTTCTTGTGTTTTTTGTTTTGGATGTAGAGGTGTTTGTTTAAGGATTATATAAGTTTGAGGTTCTTTTCTGTTCTGCTTGGCATATACTCATAAAAGATCCAGATTTCCCTTTAAGAGGAAGATGACGATTGAAAACATTAAAGCAACAAAGGAAAAGAGGTCAGGAAAGAGCAAGCAGGTTGTAGTTGATGAGAAATCTCCATTGTTGCCTACGAAGCACGGGGAAGATGCTGGATTTGATGAATTCAACGGGGCCTCGTTTAGTGGAGCAGTTTTTAATTTGTCCACCACGATTATTGGTGCTGGAATCATGGCTTTACCAGCAACCATGAAGGTTTTGGGGCTAATTCTGGGGATTGGGATGGTCATCTTTATGTCGTTCCTCACAGAAGCTTCGATTGAGTTGTTGATTAGGTTTAGTAGGACTTCGAAATCGGTTTCTTATGGAGGTCTTATGGGCGATACCTTTGGAAAGTTTGGAAGGATTATGCTCCAAACATGTATATTAGTGAACAACATTGGTGTCCTTGTCGTGTACATGATTATCATAGGTAAGAATTAGAGCCATTTCAAGATTTTCGTTAATTCTATAAACCTTCTAATAATTGCGGTCTAATTGTGCTTTTGAAAGGTGATGTACTCTCTGGAACAACCGAAGCTGGAATTCACCATACTGGTGTTCTAGAAGGGTGGTTCGGGGCACAATGGTGGAACGGAAGACTCTGTATTCTTCTGGTCACTACCATTGGCATATTTACGCCATTGGCTTGCTTAAAGCGTATTGGTAAGTTACACTTTTGAAGTTCTCGTGATTATCATTTATATTAGTGGGTCGATTTGTATAATTGTTGCCAATCATATAATAATTGTTATGGACGCATCATTTATTGAGCATATAACCATTACTGTGCAATCCAACTATTAGCTTAGGCTTTTAATTGAGATGTAACACATGTTTCAATTTAGTATCAGAGCCATGCCAAAGGTCATGGGTTCGAATTCGAATCTCAGCATCACCTGACAAAAAAAGGATTACGGTATCGGCCCTCACACGTGAGGGGGCATGTTGAGCATATAACCATTAATGTGCAATCCAACTATCAGCTTAGTCTTTTAGTTGAGATGGAGGACATGTTTCAATTTCTCTAGCATGATGCTCTGTGCTTGGAGTTTGAAAGTTGAATATAATAATTTCTATCCCGCTTTCTTTGCTTGTTGTATAAGACCGCCAAGTGTAATTTCATTCCCTTGTCATTGCAGATTCATTGAAATTTACGTCAACATTATCAGTTGCACTGGCTGTTGTATTCCTTGCTGTAACTGTGGGAATCACGATATACAAGATAATAAACGGAACTGTTCTGATGCCCAGATTACTTCCTGATGTTGATAACCTGACCTCACTTTTTAAGATCTTCACAGTAGTTCCGGTTCTTGTCACTGCGTATATCTGCCACTACAATGGTATGTAACGATCTGAGGATTATATAGTTGCTTAGAGATTTCAATGGAAAATTACTCCAGTATAAATATTAGACAGTGCTATACAAATCATTTCAATTATGGGCTGTTTGGTTCACGGAATAGGCCGGAAATGGCATAGCATTCCCAGTAATAGGTCTATTCCTCTGTTTGGTAACCACTTGTATTCCCAGGAACATTGTTCCCGGGAATGGCCTATTCCCCTTGAGGGGAATAGAGATTCCTGACCCCCCTAGTATTAGGCTATTCCTGAGTTCTCGGGAATAGCCTAAAGTTTCTATTTCCTATTTTACCCCCAATTAAATTTATTTCCTATTTCACCACCGCCACCTAGTGTCTCTGTGTCGGGCTGTCAGTGATTTGTGAAGGTTTTCCTTTCTGAAAAAAATGTGAATGTTTTGCAGTTCACTCCATCGACAATGAGCTCGAGGACAGCACACAGATTAAATCAGTTGTCAGAGCCTCTCTCACACTTTGCTCAAGTGTGTATGTTTTGACGAGCCTCTTTGGGTTCCTCCTATTTGGCGATGGAACCCTCGATGATGTGCTAGCAAACTTTGATGCCGACCTTGGACTTCCGCTAGGTTCTTTGCTCAATGATGTTGTTCGTGTCAGTTATGCCGCTCACCTAATGCTCGTCTTTCCAATTGTTTTTTATCCCTTGCGTCTCAACTTGGACGGTCTGCTCTTCCCATCTGCAAGGCCTCTGGTTTTGGACAATGTGAGGTTTGCAGTGATCAGCATTGGGCTTATAGCTGTCGTCTTTCTAGGTGCAAATTTCATCCCCAGCATTTGGGATGCATTCCAATTCACAGGTGCAACGGCTGCTGTATGCATTGGCTTCATATTCCCTGCTTGTATTGCTCTCAGGTGAGACAATTCTTTTGATTGAATATAATAAAATCTGTCACGGAATCTTTTATTTGTTTTTGACGCTGTTGATTTTCATGTGCCAGGGATCGGTATGGCATAGCAACAAAAAGGGATAAGATCTTGTGTGTATTTATGATCGTCCTTGCTGTGTTCTCAAACCTGGTGGCCATATACAGTGATGCCTATACACTGTTTAAGAAGAATGCATCAAAACCTGAATGATTGCTTCATAGTCGGAACTGTGATCTATGTTCATGGGGAAGGCAGGTGGTTACTTTTCCCCAAACCGGGAAAGCAAAAAGCGGATTATGTGAAGACTGAAGTGCATCAGAGAAACGCGTTTTTAATGAACTTACCGAAGTCAAGTTTGAATAAATTCATGCATTCATTCTGTTCAATGTCAAATTGAGCAGCGATGTTCAATATCTATGCAAGGGGCTTGCAGATCTGGCTACATTCCTGTTGTTTTCGTTTTCGTTTCTAGTTGATTGCTTTGCATGTAGAATAGAATGCAGATTGTAGAAAACTCAAATGTGCTTATGTGAAATATATATATATATATGTAAGGATATTGGTTTCTTAGTTTGGCATACCCTTTATTGACTTCAAATTTGGCATGAATATCTCACCTGCTCTTTCAGCCACAATTGTCATATTGTTTTCCTTTGAATATGAAATGAACATTCAAACTCATAAAATAAAAAGATAATCCATTACAAATGAATATGAACTTCATTTGAATATTTAACATTAGAATTAGAATAATTTAAATAGTAGCATTGGACAAAATCATTGAAACATGCAGGTTTAGGGGGTGGGGAAACAAGAAGAATCAGAGATTTATGGTTTACCAGTGCTTGTTACAAAAGGAACTAACCTTCTGTAATCTCTTCTCTTCCCAAGTGCACAGCCATCAAGCACGCGGCCAAGCATCAACCTTGTGTTCTGCAGTGCTACATCTCTTGGTGGAAACCCAGATTCAGTTGCGGATGAACCCGATCCAACTCCCATTGCAAATTGGAATGAGCCACTCCGAGCTTTAAACCTGTCTTCTGTCGTGCTGAAGCCATTATCGAATGCCCCTGAGTCATGTGGATGGGAGCTACAGCTCTGCAAGAGGGCTTCCAACACACTAAGTGCCTCCAAACACATAGTGCTCTCCACCAGCTGTGAAACAATGGTGTACATGTGGGGAGTCTGAGCAGCATCCATTGGAGTGTGTTGAAGCATTGCCTTGAGCATGAGAAGAATGACGCGCTGATACTCTAATGGTCCTTTCTCTAGGAGCCGCAGGAGGTGCCCAAATGCAAGGGCCGAGTGTTCAGGAAACCATTCTTTGCATATTAATGGGGAAATGCAAGCTAGAAGTGTAATTGTGTTTCTGATCTCGCCACGCGAATAAGCCAAGAAAACAGCAGCTAGCTCAGTCAATGATTTTGCTCGACACCAGACTGCTATATTGGTTGCAACGGAGCATGCCTTTTGATGCTGTTGTTGGAGAGGTGAAGCCGGTCCAACCACTGTGTCCTGACTGAGCTGTAAGCAGAGCCAGGGAAGTAATCCAGTGATGTTCATCAGGAGTCGTGTTTCTGCATCGCCAAAGATCGAATCACACATAGGCACAGTGATACGCAATAGGACTTCAACTGACACAGCATGACTGACAGTTGACATAAGTCCTTTAAGAACCAATGGCTGCACTCCTTCAAACAATGGGACCTTTGAGGTTAAGGGAGATTGTTTGCCCAGATGTCGAAAGTCTGAAGTGTCGCCAATACTTGAATCAAGCTCATCGCGAGGCATGCTAGAAAGCAGCACATTTTCTGTAGTTGTATCCCGGAATGACAGACAGTCAATTACTTGAGAAAAGAGTTCCAGCACCTGACAGTAAACATGGACATAGTCTGTTTGCATCATAGCAACACAACCCCAGAAAAGCTGGGGATAGAGTATAACCTTCTGTGGCCCCATATTCTCTACCATCACCTTCAACGTCAATAGGATTTCCATAATGAAGCCTAAAACGGCTGGTATTGGATTTCCCAAGCAGCGGTGAATACACCTTAGCAGAGATACACAGGCATCATTTGTGACAGGAGGTTTTAGAGCACGATAAATCTGGTGTGATCTGCAAGCAAGGTGTCTGGATGTGCACTCCATAGCCCATTTCAATGCCTCTGCTCCCCAGGTTTCTCGCAGATCTCCTTGGAAGAAGATAGCATCTACCATGCACTGCACAAGAGCAGAAAGGAGAGCTGCACTTGGTAGCTCTATTCTTACAACAGTGGGGTCCTCATTCTCCCACATCATGCTACCTCGCTTCGACTGTACATATTTTATGAGGCTCACAACCTGCTGCTTGTTCTCACCATCATTATTTTCAACGTCATACAACTCCAAATGCCTGCCTGCAAGCGAATAAAGGAGATTGACAAGCAGGTGTTGGCAATGCTTTAACACAATATCCTGTGAACTATCCATAGAGACAAAAGTGACGTGAAAGAGCAAAGGCAAATGCTCTCGGAAATCCTCATCATTCTCATAAGCAATTTCAGCAAGTAGAATTAATGCAATGTCTGCACGAGTGAGAGAGTGCTGTTGATGCACTTGTAAAGCCGAAAGAAGTTCTTTTGTGTTCACGCTGTGTATTCCAGCCCCAAAATGGAAACCATCTTCACTAGAGGCTGGTGTATCAATAAGGTAGTCTGCACTGTCTCGAGAGGCATGGCGGCCTCGCAGAGTTCCAGTTGAACTTCGGACTCCTAGGTGAGTCCCCATTGGTGGAAGAAGTTGGCTAGACCGACTAGCACTTACAGGAACAATATTCAATTCAGATGGCAAAGAGGACCCAGATGCACTCCTGCCTCCTACACTTCCTGATCTCCAGCTCAAGGTTCCACTTGAACTTCTGGATTGACCATCAAGAGATCCTCGTACTAGTAAAGGTGACATAAGAGTCTGGCTGTCTACAATAGATGATGCAGCTTGACTTACAGAAGGACCCTGAGAAAATTCCAAAATGAAGTTCCCACTTCCATCCTTATTTGTACTTCGTCTCAAAGTCGGAGGTTCTATATTATCCTCAAGCATCCGCTGGGCCAATTGGTAAACCAAGTGATCAATAGTACGTTGAGGGCAAATACGGGCTAAATATAAACTAACCCTTTTGGCAACAGAGAAATATGTAGCAAATGCACCACATATCTCTGCTGACGCATTTGAATCAGAGTCTTCAATTCCTCTCATGATCAAGAAATCTAATACTGGACTTATGTTCCTAGGTTTGCTAGCAATTGTGCTCCAAAGCTTTTCTATTTCATCCGGAAACTGATCGCCATGTCTCCATGTAACATAATATAGGCTTTTCAACAATCTATCACTCCAACCAGAGTCCTTCAGTTTCCAGAGATTGAGATTCTCTATCCATGGAGCCATGCAAGTTAAGACCTGATGCTGTGCAATTATATCTACAGAATCAAGCTGCCTCTGCATAATTTCTTCGCAAAGAAGCTGGCTCAATCCAGGATGATCCTTTGCAAGTTTGCAAGAGAGTTTATATTGGAACTGTTGATATGAATCAGGAAGGTTTCCAACAACAGCAGCCCTATAACTTCCAGGCCCCTCAATCCCATCCACAGCCCACTCATGATCCGAAAGTGTTTCAAGCATTTGAAGGGCATCATCACGAATTTGTCTGGAAGGATCCACCACCTTGTAGAGAATCAAGCTTAGTAGCCTCTGTATTTCACATTTTGGTATCTCTTGGCTCATATAAACTTCAGCCAACACACTAAAGTAGCCATCAGCAACTGCAGCATCAGAGTAGTAGCACTATACAAAACCAAAGTTCACACTAATTAATAGTTGCATGAAGAGTAAAGTTAAGGCAAAAACTGCATATAGAAATATTAGCAACCATATTGCAAATAGACCCTGCCCATTTAAAAATTATAGTATGATCATGCCTCAAACTTCCATTCTTAGAATAGTTTAGATGGTGGATTAGAGTCTATCAACCATGATAACAGGAGATCAAGAAAAAGATGAATTATATGCAGGGAAGTCTTAGCACCATTTAATATGATGATTTGTCAAATGAAACATTGGTGAGTAGATATAAATAGTTACAAAGTTGGTTTTTCCAAACAGAATTAATTGACTCCGCAAAAAAGTAATAGTAAATGGAAATATGCATCTTGAACTTCCAAAGGATGGAAAATATATTTACCTGATCAATGCAAGCTGGGAATAGATCCAAATTAGTGATGAGAAGGTTTTTTAATGCTAGTTTTGCAAGTGAAACTCGACGCTGGCCTCCTCTATGCTTGTCACGTCCAGTTGCTCCTCGACCACCTTCTCCAGTGTATTTAGAATAGGATGGAGTTCTTGGATCAACTGGTGAATGACCAAATGGAACCCTGGCTGCAGGTTCAATGAATAGGCTATTGATCCAAGATAACACACGACCACTCATCTTTCTTGCATTGTCATCAAAGCATGGGCCATATAAAAGTGAAGCCAATGCATTCATGGTAGCCCACTGGATAGCCTCAACCTGATCACTCAATTCCCTTTCAAACGACATTCTGTCTACAGATCGACTGTGTTGAGAAGACTTGTAGCGTTCAACTTCACGTCGATAATCATTAACACCATCCTGATTCCATGTACTGCCAGTTTCATCATTCCAGGAGAGAAGCAGGTCAAACAGCCGCTTTCTTACTCTAACATCAAATTTTTCAATTTTGGAATCAACAAATTCACGGGCCAGAGGTCTCAGTACAGAAGCAAGTGCATAACGGAGGGGTTGCATCTCCTGAAAGTTATCAGCAGGTGCTGTTAATATTTGTCTAGTTATTTCTTCAATAAACTTAAAGTAGTGTAGATGAAAAACTGGTTTCCGGATTAGAGTTCCAGGCCAGATATTATCAGCAACACCACGGTATATATTTGCAATATGCATTCGAAGTTCATCACGGCGAAGTTTTTGACTCTGCATCAAAGAAAGAATACATCCAACAAAAACATCTAATCAATCACCCTATGAATACAAACATGCCCAGATGAAAGAAGGGGCCAGAAAAATTGAATGTACCTTCCATTTTGGTTTCCCTTCTGTCTCCGTAGAGACCTCATCAATAAAAGATGAAAGCTCACTGAACATGACTTCACATACTTCCAGATGTGAGTGGCCAAGAGCCATAGTTGCAGCATGCTAACAGAAGAAATAACAGCTTAGTTGATATAAGAAAACAATATCCATTGGTTTCTCTTTATTTTCTTAATTTCCTTTCTGGATGGACAAATTACCAGTGTGTAGGTAAATGTCATCAAATATTCTCAGGCTACTAAAAGACTTATACAGTGGAATGGTTGATAACTTGCACTTGCAATGCACTTAGTAACAATACCATTGTAGAGATTTGCACAGAGACTATATTAAGATAACTAACAATCATGCAGCTTAACTTCATTCAGATTCCAAATCATTTTGTATTTATTTACAATTTTCAAAGCTTCTTGTTTGCATTTTTAGACATTTTGCATATACATTAACATATTGCTTAAAAGAAAGCAATACCAAAATAAGGTTTCAATACTAAAATAGAA